CGTTTAAATTGATCTCTTGAGCTAGTGGCTGCGATTTTTTTCGGAGACTTGACACTTTTGAATAAACATTTTAGCAAAAAAAAAAAGGAATAAAATGTATATCGTTCGTAGGATCGTTAGAGACAGATACAGGAAATCCAGAAATATAGACCCATATTCATGTAATTTACATCACGTATGAAATTAGAATAACATACCTAGTAATTTATCGTAAAGAATCACGTAAATTGCCTGGGATATTTTACTTATCCAACTCTGCCCGTGAGCAATCTCCCAACTCACCTCTGTAGGTAAGCTGTGGCGCCATCTATTAATCGGAATTATTGATAACGATTGAGCAACTATCGATAATATGGACTAAAATCTTTTTACATACTTTTTCATAAATCATGCTTGGTTATTCGGCTAAATATTTTTTTTTCAGTTTATTAATCTAATTCCCATTGTTCAAATATTTTACTGATTCAACTTGTCAATGTCTTTCTTAAACATTGAAATAGATGATAAAAACTCGGATGGTAAAAACTCGAATGGTAATTTTCCAACAGAAAGCAGAACAGTTTATAACTTTCAAAAATATCTGTTTCGACGAGAAGGCAGCACCTGTTAAACTATCACTAAATTTATAGATGGTTCATATGAAATTATTTTTCAGCAAGTAGCTTATAAAAACACCAAAAACATATTCTATAGAAATAAATTGATCAATAACCTGATACATGAGTAATAATATTCTGTGGCCCTTCTGTTCTCCTCACTTGAAGATAAATTTTCGAATTATTTTTCTCAAACGTTCTCTTGCGTTTGTTTATGTTAATTAATAGTTGTTTTGAAGAAAGTGTTATTTATGGAGCCTTGCCCTTGAGTTAAATAATAGGATCGGTAAAGTTGAATCCATTTAGAAGAAAAAGTGAAAGATCGCTTTCGATTACGTTTTATACAGTATTTCATGTTGCTCTTACAGATGAAATCTAAAGATATATCAGATTTATATGACAACCAATTTGCAGGCTCGCATATATGTGCATCCATCCATTTAAGATGCGCTATATTCAGTCCCTTAGAAAGCTCTTTAATCTCCGACTTGTTTCACTCTCAGCAATTCCCTGGCGTATCTGAACAAATGATTGTAATTCATAAAAATCTAGCGATTATGATCTCAAGACACTCGCGCAAATATTTCGTTACTTTTTCAAATATTTCGCTACTTTTTCGAAAATAATCAAACCCTCTACAAAACGGAACGCACTTTCATTATACCAAACATTGATCCGTGATATGTTCTCTTATTTGAGAAATAAATATTTCTTGAATCGAAGTGCCGAAACTTTGGCGTTAAGTTATGCGTTCAAATGTATTTGGCGCGAAACTGTACCACGATTCTTGATTTACCTTAGTTAAAACGGGGCCCTCGAGTGTATCAGTGGAAGAGGTGTTTTCATCTTTTTTGTCGGGTATTTTTTGCGACGTGTTTGTCTTAGGGTACAACGTTCCTCTTGTCAAGATTCGTATACTTTCGCGAGACAACGCCGGAGTAATTAATGCGGCAAGGGGAGTCCTTTCCTTGACAAGACCTAAACATTAACAACCTGTTTCATCGTTCAAGCAAAATGGCAGACGTTGCTTTTCGCTTTTCTTCCAGCATGGAAGCGTGAGAACAGAATTTAATTTTACATAAATAAAACTGCTTTTGCATTCAATACCAATACCAGATCTGAGATAAGTGGCAGGATGAAAGTCATTTTATGCAATATTCAGAACTTCTTCACTGAACTAACCTTCCATGTTAATCTTCCTCGTTTTCAGGGACGCACACATTTGGCTTACTAAAATTCTTTGACTATTCGACATCCTTCGCAATATCACGCGATCAGGATCAAAATAGTTGGGATCTTGCGTGGCTTTCCAAGGCTAAATCGCAAGTCGCGTAATGTTTATTAATAATCATTCCTGTTATACTTTTTATAACTAATGATTAATCGATCTTGAATACCTTAAATTGACACTTTTCAGCTGAAGTCGGTCTACCTCGACCCATCGTGGCATCGTCCTTTGTACGCTTTCCTAAATTCAGAATATTTCCAATTTTTGTAACATTAGCAATTTTTTTAAAAGATTTAGAATGGTTTGACATTAATTTGGAGACATTCTGAACTCGTTTCCTTTTAACGGTATTTTCAACGTTCCCCACTGCATAATTTTGTTCTTGATCATTGTTTTCAAACACATGGTTTTTCGCCGTTTTACTAGCACTCTTTATTTTGGTTTGAGCATTTTTTTTAGAAGTTTCTTTAGAAGGAACTGTGGTTTGTTTCGATTCTATTTTACCGAGCGATTCGGCATTTCGAAACCCTTTTCCTTTCGTACGTGTTTCAAGTGAACATTTCGAACTTGACTTGTTTAATCTTTCAATCTCTTTTGGAAGGTAAAAAGTAGTATTTCCCTTATTAAAATTTTTCATCGATCTATCTGTTTTCTCATTCACTCCATCATTTTCTACAGTTTTACAAGTATCGCTGAATGTGGTGCTTTCCTTTTCACAACTGCAACAAGAATAATGGCATATCAAAATCATTTTTAATCCAACGTTCTTGTAAACTTTCTCCATGCATTTGTTATAACTAAAACAAAAAATTCTCTTACGAAATCGCGTCGCAAAATTCATTGGTATCGAAAACTGGTTTAACCGCGTTTTCATTCCCGTGTTCGTTTTTCGAAAGAAATTTCATTTTTAAATTAGCCAACATCTCTTCGTCGTTTACAGTCTTTGTTTTGTTAGGATCGTTAAAGAGATTTCTTCGAATTTCCGTAACAAGAACATCCAAGCTCGGAGCTGGCGGAACTTCCAAAGATCGGACAACTAATTCCTTTTCCAAAATTTTTTCGAACCGAGGGTCGACTTCTTCGATGACGATCGCTTTTGAAACGACAAAACTCCCCGGCGATGAGACAAAAGGCAGGCCGTGCAAAGATTCGAGGAAAATCTGTATGTCTGGTCGCAACAACATTTTTTGGATCTCTTTCGGATTTTTCGCAACGTGAAGGATTTTTTTCATTTTCCTTGGATTGACTTTTGCCAATACATCCAACACAGTATGCACTAGGGTTTGAATTTGAATATTTACGAGAATTGGGACAATCTTAAAACTTCTGTTCCTCAGGTCCATGCACTTTACAGGATATTTAAGGTAAAAACACTTTTTCTTTCTTTCGGCGATCGTTTTCGGAGTCGTAACTCCAGAAAGGAGAGAGTGCAAGGATTCTGAAAAACGGGCATCATCTCCAAATCTTTGAAACGGTGATTTCGTGCCAGAGGACTTTGAAGCCACGTCCTTTCCGGATTTATTGCTCGATTTAATCGTTATTAAGTCCGGGGTCGTTTCACTTTCCTCGTGAATGAAATGCCTGAGTTCCTGGATGGACCTTCCACTTTTAGCTTTTAACATCGTAATGCTGCGGTCTACCTTGAAACTAGACTTATTATCAGACTGCTTTCTCGTCGGACTTCTTGAAATAGAGATCTTGGAGTGGGTTGCACCTGAGATTCAAAACGTCTATATACTTACTTGTGAAGTATAGTTAAAAAGTTCCAAAGGGCAATGAATTATTCCAAGTCTACTTGAATTACAAAATTATTAATTACTACTTCACAACCTCTCCACCCTTGTCTTACTTAATTAACCGTACCTTTGAAGAAAGAATTTGTAAGACGCTGACTAGATAATATTCTTTCATCGTCCAGATGAAGAGAAAAGCTCCTTTCATCGAAGACGTCCAAGCTGGATCTTCTAGAACTTCCACGAGTAGGTCCACTGGTGACAACTTGCTTCGTTTTTAATTCACGAGAAGCTTTGAGAAAGGAACAAACATCTGGCGAAATAATCGGCATCTTTCCCAATTGACTAGGCACCATTTTAGAGCGTTCATTATTAATAAACAGTGCCATGGCGGCGTCTTCGTTATTCTCCACGTATTGTTTGTATCCACGCTCGAATCCTGCGACAGTTTCTTCCTCCTGAACTAACACACGAGGATCCTTGTGGTACTTCAGCTGGTCCGAAAACTCACCAGACACATCAGCATCTCTTCGAATGTCAACCACATAGCAGGGGAGAATATTGTTCCACGCACCGCTACAATTACTTTCCCCTTCTGCCAACAAGTATTAACACACCATTACTCAATAAAATTGTCTTCCACCGCATTAACACGATACTACTCCACGTCATCAGTACTACTAAAGGAAACGGATGTTCCCAAGGTACACAGATGCAGGTAACACATTTTCAGCGATTCTTTGCATTTTTACACATAATAATTTTCACGCATAATAAAAATACACAGTAGCAATGAAAGTAACTATAAAACCACATGGAAAAATAATACCTTTGAACCTCTCTCATCTCTTGCATGTGTTACTGAAAATAATTATCATTAAGAATAGACGCGAACAAATTTTCACATATTACTGTCCTGAGAAACATAAAAGTTGATTAACTCAAAGAAATATGCATTGCGACAACAACATTCTGCTATCAAATACGCCCAAAGAAATGTCAGATTGAGTAAACAAAATTCGTTTAAATCGACATAAATTGTTCTTCTCAATAAAGTAACTGTGTCTTGCAACTGTGTATCAATTATATATGATTTAGGTCATAATGTATTGTTGGCGATACATGTTTGTCTCAGTCAACTAATATTTTTTCTCAGGGTGGAATCACGAAGCAGGTAAGACAGAGTGTCACCTTTTTCCAGTAACGATGTGACTGGTTTAATGGAGGAATTATTCCATTCGCTGTCATTAGACTTGACAGTATGAGCAGTCAAAAGATGCAAGCAAAGCATCTTGTCGGGGTCCAGCTCTCCATTGGTAAAGAGCATCTCGCGAACGACATCGTAGGTGTCCTTGGGTTGTTCCATGGTCACAGATCCACTTTCCTTTATGGTGCCGGTACAGTGGTAACAGAATCCAGGGTTGTGGGTGTCGTACATACGCACTTGCATCGCCTGCATGTCAGTTATCATGTCTGCAAATTATACTTAACGACACTCTGCGCGTCGCCACCCTCGAAGCACAAGTGGATGAAATATTTAATGCATGGCATGCTTTTTGCGATAACATTTGAGAAAATCACGGGAGAAGATGGCGTTGCGCCACATTTACATGCAAATCCTAAAATGTGTATAATGATAATATAATTGCGGTGAAATTCCAGGAATAATTTTCCAGGAGATTTCCTTCGCTGACATTATTTTTAATCTTCATTCGTTGGAAAGGAAAAATCGTCAATACGGCTTACGTACGGTAATTGACGACATTGGGATTCCTTTGTAATGATAATATTCGACCAGTATAAATGGTAATCATATATGTACAAGATAACCTCATGAGGTTACATTGTGCTTTATACATCATTTAGAGTCATATTTCAGAATTAGTAAAATTGCGCGCACTGGCATTTATTGGCAGATTTAAAACATTGTTTAAAAATCCTACGACAAAATGGAATCCACTTACATTTGCAGTAGCACGTATGGGTAGAGTATTAACATTTTTGTAGCGACTTTTGAAACGTCGTCTAGTCGCCTCCAACAATTTGATCTCTGATTTCTCAGCTTTATCAAGTTTTTTCAATTCGTGTAAAAGTCTCTGCCTACTGATTTCATTCTGCTTAGCAAGTTTGTCTTGAAGATTTGTCTCGGTTTTGCTGACCATATCTACGAGGGTTTATGGGCCACATTTGAGAGACTTGAGAAGGAATGTAGATAGGCATGTAACAATCTGAAGATAGCCAGGAATACCTTCTTCCTTCCCTGTAGACTGCAGATCACGACTTCAAGTGATTTATAAACAAGCGTCTACAATTATACCGAATGTCGCTCGATGATCTACAGATATCCAATTCAATTCTATTTTAATACTCAAACGATATCCACGTACTCGGTAATCTAGATCGATATCAACTCTTCACAGCTACAAAGTTGCTATAAGTCAACACCTAGGGAGAGCTCGTTAAGGTTGCAGTCTCTTCGCTCAGCCTTGTTGGAAGGATCAAAATCCCATATAGAAGGCCTTTCGCTACTCGATCCGATTTACTCGGGAATTATGAATCACCGTTGATATTCATACTCGCATCGCCACTCAGAGGAGGTCGGCAAGGTGTAATTCTCTCGGCCCCGTACGTGCACCTGGCAACACGCATACTATTTCGCCAATGGTGATCTTATAAATGGTACCATAATGTCAAATACGGCAAACGAATCTGAGAAAGCAGGCGTATAACCGAAGCTTGATTTTTCGAAAAGTCGCCGCTCTCGCCGCTAAACATCATCAAATCAGAGCGAAAAAAATAACCAAATTAACAACTAAACGCCCTTTAAAATAATTTCATACAAACAAAAATAACAACACGAAAATTTAATAAAAACTCAATTCCAGCTGTACGCTTTTATTACAATAATAATCATACAATTTAAATTAAATGGCAAGACATAAATCGATGTCAATTTAAAAACTCCCATTTTCGACCTTTGAGTGCAAGTGGCATAACAGGTACTTCAAATCGTCTAAATTTTGATATATCGCCCGAGCACTGAGCTCGATAGACGGCGCACGCGGTGGCGGCGCCGAGCGGTCGCTCGCCCGCGGGAGGTGGCCGTCTTGATTTCAGTCGTGGCGCGTCAGGCAACCGGAGCGCCGGTGTATCGTGGGTGAATCCGTGCGAGGTGGCTCCTCGTGACAGCGGTACGTGCGGGTCGGCAGCTGGGCTCCGATTGGCTCTCGCGGGCCGCGTACGGAGCCCGCCAGACCCTAGGCGGCGCACGCGCCACTCGCGCATGCGCACGGCCAAGCTCGCCGGCTCCGCTCAACCTCCAGCGGCGAGTCGTCTGTTTACGTTGCATACGTAATTCACCCGGTCCGCGGGTAAGTCGCGCCAGTTCTCGCGCCGCCGGTGAGCTCGAGCGCGCGGACCAGCTGGTGACCGAGCAGTGGCTTGAGCGCGGGACCGACCGGCCGCCGGAGGAGAACTCAGGACCCTTGGCGTCCGGTCATAACTATGGCGGGACTTTTCGAAGGGCGCGACGAGTCGACCTTTCTAGGGCGCCCGGGCCGCCGCCACTGGCCCAGCACCATCTAGACCTGCTCCGACGGACTCCGACACGAGCGAGTTTCGCGAAAATTCCGAATAAAACCGAACGACTTCTCCGAGGTGTGCCGTCATTTTTCCCGCAAGATCTTTCCTACTTCGTGACGGAAGTGGCGAGTGCACCGCCCCAGGGTTTGCCGGTGTCCGGGTAATAACGTCGATGAGTTACCACCGGTTAGCATGGACGTGGCATTGAAAAGTGAAATGCGAGTGAAAAACTGCGGTGGGTTGGCTTGCGTTTGATTGATCTGTTATTTCAACGCAGTGTACTGGCTGGAGCGCGACACGAGGCTAGAGGCCAGAATATGAGATCAACGGTATCACCGACGTGTCGTAGGGTGGCCTAGTAGCGATGGTTGCCGGTCGGTGAGGAGACCAGGTCACCCGGCATGGAGTTCGCGGGCTACAGGAGCACCGGGCCGCGCATGCGCGCGCGCCGCCGCGCCGAGCTTGGCCGGCGTCTCACCAGGAGGCTGTCGCTCGTGGCGAAGATGCCGGCCGCCATCCTTAGCAGAGCCCATCCGCCCGAGCCGCGACCCGTCGAGATCACCGCGATCGCTCCCGACAAGACACAGCTTACCGTGAGTCACGCTTCCTCGCTCTCGATGTTCACCTCGCATGTCGTTACCTGCAACCGCGTTTCTCGAGCTCTCGTCAAATCGAGTCCGCTCGCCCGAGAAACGCGCGTGTGAAATTCGCGCCAGATATGCCCATCGTGCACCTGTTATTGCGTCTTAATCATCGACTACCATTTTTCACCCTGACCGACACTTGTCGGGTCGTCATCTTGTGGATTTCTTGCGCAAATTTCTGGAGGTAGCAATAAGGAAACCAAGATGGCGGCAAGGTCGTCTTCGGACCCCCCGTTGACTCTCCCCATGTAGCGATATTAATTGGCACGATACTCGTGAACCGTAGCTCAAATCGCAATTAAATATTGCGAATATTGCTCCAACATTGAAATGTGAACACTTTGTTTTGTTGGAAGATTATTTCATCGTGATACACAAAAACAACATATACACATAGTGTTTCCTAAACATGCGGCAAAAAATCAAGGGGTGATTTCTCAGGTATTTTTATGAAGAAAAGTTCATATAAACATTTGTCGAAAAATGCTTTCTAAGGTAGCTACGCTCCTTCAAATGAGGCACCGTGAAGACGGTTTTTCCTCAATATTTTCGAAACCGTCCATATTGTAATTATGAAATTTGGTATACAGCATGAACTTTTGACGCTGAATCAGAATCGGAGCTCAGAATTTCAAAATTTTAATCAGAAGCGTCCCATAATGAAGGGTTTAAGGGTAAAAATAACCCCATTTTTTAATGGACATCTTTTTTTACATTTTGATTTTAGAATATGATACCTGAAGGATTTTGATGTAAAAAAGATACTCTTATTTCATATCGATAGGGTTAATTGTGTTTGAGAAAATTGCAAATTTCTACGATGCACATTTATCTCTTTGGGCCCAGGGTGCCCCATTTGAAGGGGCGTAGCTCCCTTAGGAAGCATTTTTCAACAAATGTTTATATGAATTTTTTTTCATAAAAATATCGCAGGAGTTACCCCTTGAATTTTTCCCGTATGTTTCGGAAACACCCTGTATATCCAATATTGCGGAAGCATTACAAAGTACCGCGTGCTTAACGACATGTATTCTATATTGTACCGGTACATTGAACGTGATATTTTCTGGGACGCGAAATATTAACTTAATATTGCCAGTAATGGATAATGTAACAATAATTGTTGATACAGGGGTCGTTATTTGATGGCATGGAGTGCGGGAAAACTCTGTTTAAGGTAATTTTTTTAATTAGATGAGGTGAAGCGCAATGGCTAGGATTCGTTTTGAAGTGAGGAACGTGCACATTGGTATGTGTCGATCTCTTGACTGGGATAACTCCGCGAATTCCACGGTAGAAATCGAAACTCTTGGTGGGTTCGCGCGAGTTACGTGCCGGCGCGTCACGCCGGCACTTGTGCACGCGTACGTGCGTATTATGCACCGCCTATATCGAGCAGACCCTTATAACCGATCGAGTGTGCATATAGTTATGCCTGCATGAACGCGGAGTTAACTTCGATAAGTATTATGCTCAGGAAGATTGCACTCGACGCAGAGAGCGAAAACGCGGCAGAGCACTTGCGCGGTACCCAGCGATTCCGAGGGAAGTAAGTAACGCGAAAATATGTGTTATTGCACAAAATCCGTGCTATATGTTTTTTCCCTTTCACGATTGAGACATTTCCGAGCGCCATGTTGAAGTCCCGTGAGTCAGTGTGCACCGGATTTCGTTGAGACTAGGGGTTCATTTGAGGTTAGGTTGCTTGAACATCTCAAGGCAGTGAGCCATAACGTGTCCAATTTTAGGTACCATTATCAATTAGGGTTATGAAGGGACGAAGAGGTGCGTTCCACAGAAAATTCCTGGGAACGTGTTTCCCCGATAAAAAATGGCAGAATTTGAACGAACTGGGTAAAATCTGGCTAAATATGGTCTTGGTGCAGAACTCACTTGATGTGCGCGCACGTCGACCTTGTGTGTCTTGTACACCTAACTTTCGAAGAATGTCACGCACGAGTTGTCCGGCTTAATGGGTAACTACGATCGCTTAAAATCCTCCAGTACGGAGGCAATGTTAACCCGTCACCTTCGGGCTTGTAGCAGTCCTTCGATCTCTGGTTTTGGATGCGACCGCAGAAACCTGAAGAACTTTTCGAGGCCACCCACCGAAGTACTGACCACCGGCAAAGAGGTGCTTAACCCGAGGATTCGTGGACCCGAATGACGCCGGTTGACCCACCAGGAGTTCATTCACGTGCCCGTCGCGTTGTCACGACGGCATGACATCACGCCGTCACGACGCCGCCTTTAAACCCCGAGGCCAGAGGGACTTAACGTAATCGCCGTAAGAAGAAAGTCAAGCAGCCCGAGTCGCTTTCTACCGGCTCGGTGAAACGTTTTTGAAGGTTGAACCTCGCCGAACCGCCGGGCCGATGGTTATTTGTATTGGCAATTAGTGCTCGTAGGCGAGAACGGCTAATCGGCTTTTACGATCGATCTGTACCGTACACTTGCGCGCACTAAGGTGCGGAGAGTGGTTACACTTGGCACGTAAGACTCGTAAATTTTGCTCTGCCCTCGAATCTCGTTACGCGTCGATGAAGGTATCCCGATGTGTGGGAGTGATCATTCCCGGCTTTTCTGCCGGTCACGCGAGAAGGAGAGAGTACTCTCTCTGGACATGGGTGACCAAGGAAGAGGGAAGGTCCTAAGGAAATGCGTGCAGGTGGATTCGCTATTTCCAGTTTTATTGGAATTTCCGGTCGGCATGATGCCATCGCCATGACCGATTATCGACAGGATGAGTACGCACGGTTTATAAGGCAGAAAATGTATCGTTCGAGAGGTCTTCCCTCGCTTTTCCTTCCTTGTTAATTGATTCTCGATCTCCCGCCCATGTGCGTGCCGGGCCTTGGAAAAGTGCGCGGTTTGAATATGCATCGTTGTGACACCCGAGACCGTGGCGAAACCGATACAGCTGGTCGTTCGTTGAGCTTTGACTTTTCCAGGTGGAGTAGCGGCCGGGACTTAGAATGCGAGCCAACTCCCCTGGAGGACTCTTGGAAAGTTATTCAATGGGCGCGATTAACTCGTTTATTTATTAACCAATTCAATGTCATTTCACCTCGGGGTTGCCGGGGATCCGCGATTCGGTTAACGCCGATCTGTTTTACCAATTAATTTATTAGTCAATTCGCAGGCATTTCACCTCGGGGATGCCGATGGGGTTCGATGTGTTTTGAAACCTGTATATATTTCCGTGACCCGTTCCTGCTGAACAGGTCGCGAGTACCGGTGCACGGATATTAATAAATAAATGGTGGGGATTGGAATTTTGCATCCGACGATTCTATTATCGCCGAGGCATCATACCGTAGGATACCCGGAGGATTTTATTTCCCCTTCTTTCAGTTACTCGTAAAGACCTGTCGATACGTCGTTACGTGGAAAGGCGAAGATCTTGACGATGATAAAGATCTTCTATGTATCAACTGCGAATGGAAATCAACATTTCTTTTAGTCGACAATAATGTTATGACCGCGGCATTCTCGAGTAATCTCCTTTCTGCCCTTTCAATAATTTATACATTCATATTTTAACGATTTATAGATAGTTGTATCAAGTGATGCTCATTGACAGCGATCCCATATTTATCTGCGACAAGTAGATATCAAAACTTTACTCCCGACAGTCTTATTACTGTCAAATTATTACAGTAAAACAAAACAGTTCCAATTAATGTTACCAGATGCGCGATGTTAAAACATTCCTCGCTATCCATAAAAAGGTCGCTCTCGACCAGAAAAACGTATAAACAAATAAAATAGTAAGAACACAACAATCTAATCCAGTTAAAATGCCCTGAATTCTGGTTCCCTTAACTGTATATTTTTATTAGCGTAGCACCGCAAGCCGAATGGGGAATTTTCTCTCTCTCGATAATTCATAAAGACACGTCGATACGTCGTTTCGTCAAGTGGTAAGAACTCGTAAAGATCCCTACCGTATCGGCGCTAAGTGGGTGCTCACAAACGGCGAATTATACGACCGATTCATTTATTCCAATCGGGCGGCGGCCACAAGGGGGGCATGAAAAAGTGGATGGTAGCCTTTAGATCTGCACCGGTACTTATCATGCGGAGATTAGTGCGGTCCAATGGCAGCTGCAATTATCCCTTGGATCGTTCGATCTTTGCTTATTATACGCCTACCGATTAACTTTGCCGGGCCGCACGTACGCTCGTGCATCGACTTTGCGTGCGTCTCTTTCTCTCCCCCGAGTGGAAACTATGTGCTCTTATAAAGGCAGGCCAACATTACTCGCAGTCACTATGAATCAACATTCGAACCGAGCGCCCAGCAGGACAAAGGAATTACTATTGCACCGGCGGGAATGTCCCGGCGCGAAACTTGCGCCAGGCCTTATTTGCAGTTTCACGATTGAAAAGCCTTTTTCCTCGAGGATTCGCCATATAAACCCCCACAATAAAGCGCTTTCTCGAGGCGCCCGATCGCGGTCTCACCTTTGTCTCTCGATCGATCGAAGGCGATCGATTAAGTCGATCGTTGATCGCCGATTCGCCCTGTCGTTTACATCTCGCTCGGTGAATACGACAGACCGCCTGTTCACCAGACTTCCACCTGGATATCCCTCGACGTAACGACGTCTAGCTGAACCTCTGGATAATGCACTCTCTATGGTGGTTTGCTGAATTAGGGGTGGTAACTCTGGATTAGGGACAATGGGCGCTTTCGGGACCCCCGTTCCTGGATTCGTGGAAAGAATTGGAACTTGCTTACTAACCCGCCGTTTTGTTGACGTGTCAACAGGACGTGATCAGTGGGATTCCTGGAAAATTTGTGGAACCGACCACCAGGTCTGGTGAGGCTTAACGAGCGGCCAATTGTGCCTAAACGGCCGTTATATAGTGCTTGGAGAGATTGCTCGTTAAATCGCTGAATGTCGTCCGAGGAAATTCTCAGGAGAACGGAATATGGAGGTCCT